CCTTTATTACAATTCAGATTACCTCAAGTACCCTTTGGGACAAATTTGTTTAAAGACATAAATCGAAAGTCAAATTCAACGTTCCAAGTTGACCCAACTCGCCGAGTTGTCCTACAACTCGTCGAGTTTCTCCATCAACTGCATAGATCCGGAAAAACCAAGTCAACTCGCTGAGTTCTCCCAAGAACCAACAGCTTGATGCATTAAGTTGCCTTCATCGAATCCAAGAGCTCCAAAGCTCATATCCTGACCAAAATGAGATCAAGAAGGGTAAAGTTTCCAACTTTACCCCTAGGAACCACCTAAATGGGTCCAAACCCAAACCCTAGACTTAAAAGAGCGAGGGCTTAATCATTAAGCACTTAATCATCAAAGACAAAACCCCAAAATGCAGATCTGACCCCATAAGGCTAGATGGCCACGTAAAGTTTCCAACTTTATGCTTAAGCATGACTAGAAGGAGCTCAAAAGCTCAAAAAGGGCTAAATGAAAGACTTAATGAATGCATGAAGCCCTTAAATCCATAAAGTTGGCACCTTTATGCCAAAAGAGCTCATGTAGACCTTAAATCTGAAAGAATAATCATTTGGGATGTCCTAATCCCCAACGTCCACCCATCCATGGCTAAAAAGCATAAACTCCAACCCAAGAAGAGATCTAAGCAACTAATAAGCAAGGTGAGAACTTGATACCTCAAAAACATGGCAATTGAGATGGAGATTCTGGATCCAAGACTTCTTCTTCAAGCCAAGCAACTCCTAATTCCTTAGCTCCTTCAACAAGCACCAAAAATGAACTCTCAGGGCTCTCCCTAAGCTCTCACACTCAACAATGGAAGATAAGGCTCGATTTTAGGGTTTCGGGACAGGGTAGGCTGGTAAGGAGGCCAACCAAAGAACTTAAGGCCTTTAAATAGGATGCAACACCCTAAAAATTAGGGTTTCTCAATCAGTGTCCAATTCACTGAGTTCCCTTCACCAACTCGCCGAGTTAGTTCATAAAAATGTGCGTCCCAAAATCCTCCAACACATCGAGTTTCCCACCATCAACTCATCGTGTTGGTCCCTAGGAAAGGGAATTTGTTTCCATAATTAATCTTCTAGATTCCGGGTGTTACAACTCTCCTTCATTTAAATTAGATTTCGTCCTCGAAATCGTTCCTTCTAACACTCATATCAAACCAACATCCCGAGGAACGCAACCGTAAATTCTGCACTTAAAACGACCTTCCGAAAACAATCAAACCCAAATAGTAACTGCCAACCTGAAGAAGAACAACCCATAATCCCATGCAAAGACCCAACCTTATATATCCGGACTTGGGTATTGAATTAGTCTGACTCCCTGACAGACCTCCCAAACTGAACCAATTGCTAAAACCATGACACTTATCCATCGAACAATCTATTCAACCTTTTATGAGAACAATTTCCATAAACTCAATAAGATACAAAATACAAACTTCCTCAACTATCAGGTCGATACACTGGTGCTAAGAGCCCGAAACCTCATCACTTTCCCTTCATTCACAAGGTGGAACCATCCTGGAGCGCAGACACATAAGCTAAATTCTGAACCCTCCAACTGATGCCTTTGACATACAAATTTCTTAACCCCCTCCGTTCTGGATACAAACTTTGCACGAACCCACTCGCGATTCCCAACACGAGTTTCCACCAAAAGCCTGCTCGAAAATGGCTACCCATGATACCTCCTCGTGGAACCTTCCCTAAAACTGATGAATATCCATTTGAATCTACCCCCAGTCCCTAACTGGGGCACTACCAGAACCATGAAGAATGATCCTCAAAACACACCGACCGCAAACTTAACCCAAAACCAAACCATATGATGAACCTAAAATCTTAACAACCCTTGAGTCTTTGCTATGCCATTACCAACCAATGCTTCGTCGAGCAACGACGATCATACCATGAACTTCTGCGATACATCCAACCCTATAAGTATTACACCAAACAAATTATTCCCAGGAAAGAGAGGTGGGTCACCACGAACACACTTTAGTATCAAGTTTTTCCTTGCCAAAAAATTCCCCGGACGCTACGTACTGCCGGCTCGTACATAGTTCTATCGTACACATAATAGTTAGCCAAATCCTCATTTTTTATATGGAAGATCAAACCACATTGCAACCACATAACCGAAGACGAACCTCGAAAGTACCGAGACGCCTTCCAATATGACTAACAGAGATCTGTTTCTGGTTGTGGAAGACCAGACAAGGTTGCAACCACAAAGCATAATACGAACCTCTAAAGCCAAGATCTCCTCCAAACTTAGAGCTCTGATATCACTTGTTGGAAAAAAGCCTCAAGGATCATAAACAATCCTCTTAATAACTATAATAGAAAAATTATTGGACACAAGAGTATACACGGAAAATTCCAAAAACCGGAGAAAAATCATGGACCTTCAAAGAGAAAGATCCACTATATGATAAATTGTCATAATCACATAGACTAATCTCTCAAGCAACCACCCAAATTACATCGACTCTCCAATATGTTGACTAACACTTTATACACTCTAAAACAAAAGAAGAAAATAAAGAATTAAACACTTCAAATGTATTTGTTTAGGGTGGTTTGAAACCAAAACATTAAACTCCTTCTATAAGTTTGGAGTCATCCCAAAATTTCATCATTGTAGAAACGACATCACAAAACATTGTTGAGTTGGAATGACGACAGTGATTGTGATGACAATAGTGGTTGTACGTAGATGGTACTGTGAAGATGTATTGGTGAGGGGCATAGTTATTGAAAACAAAGATATTCTTGTCGTATCATTTTTTATGAAATCCCTTATGAAAAGGACTTCCAAATCCCTTACATGTGAAAGGATTTCTAAAATTCCATAAAGAAGGTTTTGGACAATATCTAAGATGTGAAATCCCTCTAAAATTTTAACCAAACAAGTGATTCTAATTCCAATAAGTCAATTATGTTCTAAGTGTCTATAACCTTTGTTTATAAACACTTAAATATTGCTTTTGACAGTATATTAGATGTACGTTTCTTTTATATGTAATTTTTACTTAAAGAAATTCTTAATAAAATCACGTTGTGCTTAAATTTTCACAAAAATCTATCATTAACTATAAACGAAGAATATTATTAGAAAAAAAGAAAGAAATTAATTTCATGATAAAATTGATGATAACGTTCAATTTGTTTATTTTAAGAAACACATGAAGATAGTGTTGAGTGGGGATGTTTCCATTATCAAACAAAGTCTACATCAATGGGTAAGCAAGCAAAGAAAAGAAGGTCCCTTCTAGTCTAGTCTTGAATTGTTCTTTTTCTTATTTTTCTATGGGTCCCATGCACATACACTCTCTCTTCTAAGGTATTGAAATGTGAAAGAATATTATGTTGAAGTAACATGAAAGAAAGGCATAGTCAATGTCTCAAACCCTTCATTCACATTCATCATCTTTTTACATTATCTTATTGAATAATACTGAGCTTTTCCAAAAATATATAATATTTTCAATTTTAAAGTTGCCTAAAAAGATGGAATGTTTTTCCTCTATAAAGATTGCATATCAGTTTTATCTTATTAAAAATACTGTCGATATTTAGCTATATGAACCAAATGCTTTCGTTATATGTTAAGCAACACACATTGAAATAGCATATGACCAATGATCGAACTCCATTTAAAAAAAAATACGTGTGTAATTAAAAGTTGTCTTTATTTTGCGACAAATAACATGCTTCCTTACTAATTTATCATAGAACTTTGCATACATCTTGTTAATTTAATAAATACATTATATATTTTTCTTTATTTTAAAAATATTTGTTAAATATTAACTGAATGTGCGCATATGTAAACGAATTCGACATTTTTATTATCTCAAAGTTATATCAAGATCGAATAAGTCCAATTATAGAAAAATGAAAAGAAAAAAGAAAAAAGACGATAGATGAAGGACAACGATGCGTGACGGTGTTGGAGGCAAGTAGTATGAGAAACGAACAATTGTACGTACCTTAAGTTATCTTAACAATCAAAACTCGATAGCCATTTTAGAAAATATAGAACAAATTAATTACATCAAAACATACAATGTAATTTCTTTTGAATAAAATTATACATCTATGCATTTTTTTAGTACAACTCACACACAAACATTATACTCCTAAACTATATCTTTCGTCTAAATTTCACAAGCGAGAATTAACCCTCAACCTATGGTTGAAAGATATATTTCTTGAAACACATAACAATGTCGATTAACAAGATATTTATGAAGTATGTGTATGTTTGCATAGATGAATGAATGGCTAAAAAAACACGAAACCTATCCATATGGTTATCCATCATCGAAATGAAAACCATTACAAGACAAAAAGAACGTCATGAATACATACAGTTTGCGTATGTGTGGAGAAACCTACTTAAGGACCACAATATAGTTTCGGTCCCTATGTCATATATGGCCCTACCATATATAGCTTGAAAGCTAACTTGAATGATCAACTAGCCTCCAGTTTCTATATTTGACATATATATTGTATATACTTCAAAATGAATTGAATCGATTTTATTGTATTATATCTCCATAAAACATATATACATGTTTCCTATACATATAATACGATTTGAAATTAAACTCTTGTAGTCATCATGTCAACAGGAAGATATTGGAATCGACATCTCAAGTCCTTTTCATTTCCATTCATGTTATCGTCTCAAATAAATTAACTTTTAATTTTAGTTAATTTAAATAAAATTAAATGAAAAGAATACTCCAAATTAATGATATTATTAGATGAATATAAATATATAATTGAAAAAAAAAACAATCTTTACTTGAATGGGTATCCGAATTTTGTTTTTGTAAAATTATTAAAAATATAATAATATGCATCGGTTAAATAAAATAAGATTATACATTCATGATTCATGGTGTGTAAGACTGTAAGTACATGTATGTGTATATATACGCAGGGGTTTGTTAGTCTTAACCTTATTTCCCTTGCATGAAGCTTACATCCCCTCTCTCTCTCTCTATATATATCTACAATTTTCGAACTCTAAGATCAATTCCTTCAATCTTCTCTCTTTTTGATCTCTTTCTCTCTCTCACAAACACACAAACAGACAAGAACACACACAGACACACACAGTAATAGTGCATGGAAGTAGAAATGGATGTTTCAGGAGTACACCACCATTATCAGCAGCAGGTACACCATTATATACTTACTGCTTGATTCTTCTTCAAATTTCAGAACTTTCATGATAATGTTTAAAAATAAGTGAAGAAGTAATGGAATTTGCATGTTACTTTCGCAGTTAAGTTTCAGATGGTTTCGATTTTGCTCTTTAATTTGATGTAGCCATCGAACAGTTAACTGTGTAGAATGTTGAGATAAATACCCAGTTTCTAAGTTTATTACATGATGTTCTATACTTGGTTTCTTAATCAGAGTTGTAATATTTGATCTTCGTAATTCTAGATTCTGAAAGGAACATGGAATGGGGATTTGGTGTTGCTTTAGGCTTTTGCTAGATTAATTTCTGCTTAATTGAAGATTTTCTTCGTCTCTTTTTATCTCAAGCTTAATATATAATCGATTATGACTCATTGATCATCCATCTACTCAAAATTGTTTAATTAATTGTTCGATTTTGTAAGTGTTAATTGATATTAATTGGTATATTAAGTACTTTAAGATCTGATTTTTTCTGAATTCGTTGTTATAGGAGATGTCTTCGCATATGCTTGACAGCATGTTGGTGTGCACAAAAGCACAACAAGATAAGAAACCAAAGCCACCGGAGGACGCTCTGAAATGCCCAAGATGTGATTCCGGCAACACCAAATTCTGCTACTACAACAACTACAGCCTCACTCAGCCGCGATACTTTTGCAAATCCTGCCGGAGGTACTGGACCAAAGGCGGAACCCTAAGAAACGTTCCTGTTGGTGGTGGGTGTAGGAAGAACAAAAGATCATCATCGTCATCATCATCAGCCACCTCACCCATTTCATCATCAGCTTCTGCACTTTCAAAGATCAGAGGGCCCCAAGATCATCATCTCAATATCCAACAACATCATCAACATCCACTCAATATCATCACATCATCTAATTCAAACAATCATTTGCTTTCTAGTGGTTTAGGTCATTTACCTTATGACTCAACCGATCTCTCCCTTGCTTTTGCTAGACTCCAGGGTCAAGCAAATACCCACTTGGGATTTGACCAGTTTGACCAAAACGATCCCACATCAAACCATAACTTGGGTTTTCTTGATGCGATTAGGGGAGGGTTTCTTGAGAACATGCACACCTCGAATGGATTTCATAATGTATTGTCTAGTGGGGGTAATATTGGAAATGGAGAGATGGGTAGTGTGGGAAACTTAATCATGGGTTTAAACAATGGTAATAGAAACCATGATCAAGATCAAGAAATCATGAATGCGATGTTCCATGACCATCAACAACACATGATGAACAATGGTAGTACTTGTAGTGCAACAACGGCAGTTACAATGACAACAGTGAAGCAAGAAGCATGCAATATGATGAAATCATCTGAGTTTGGAGAGAGTAGACCAGGAGGAGGAGGAGGAGGGGTATTATGGGGATTTCCATGGCAGATAGGTGGTGGTGGTGGTGGTGGAGATCAAGGGAACATGGCTCATGATGTTGAATCCGGGAGATCACAAATTGGAGGATGGAATGGGATTAGTTCAACAGCTTGGCATGGACTCATAGATAGCCCTCTTATGTAGCACAAGTAAAACTATAGATCATCTTGTTGTTTAATTAATGTTAGTGCAGGAAAATTTAATTTACTTCTAAAATCTTTTGTTTGGATGGTGGTGGTGGGTTGGTGGGGGGGAGGGGGGATAGAATTATGTACTTGGTTTTAACTAAATTTGTTTGTTTGTTTATGTTTGACAATCAAGAACCTGTTTTTTTGTTTCCTGATCAAGAACAAGTATACTACTGCTTATGTTGTTTTGAATATGAGGACACATGTTCATTGCTATTATGTAATTTCTATCTTTGAATCAACTTCATTTCTTATCTCATTGTTATGGGAATAGGGTCAAGTTATTTTTTATGTATCGTGCAATAAAGTACACATTCCAATAATATTTGAGACTTTGAGGTAATAAAACGGTGAGATTGGAGTTTAGAATGTTTTTTAGTCTAAAGGATGTTGTAAGGATTGTCATTTTGAATGTTTTGAATATACTGTTTGAAGTTTGAACTATAAATTTGTTTAGCGATTAAATTTCTGAGCTATTATTTATAGCTATTCGTTGTAAACAAAAGATTATTCTAAAACAGCTTTAAATTTTATAAAGTAACATTAATTGGAGCCGTGACTTATGTGTTGATACTTTCTTAACAGTGTCTAAAAAATATCGGATTTTTTATATTTGTTTATTTATTACAAAATCTCAAAATGTTAATTTTCTACACCCCATCACATAAGAGGCAAATCACAGTAGTTATTTAGGATAGATGAACTGACATGTCAAGAATTAGCTCCCAAAAAAGAGGAACTAAATGGAAAATCCCCACATTGTCATTGCCAAGTGCCAAAGGTGTTCTCTTATTTTATTTAAAAGCCAAAACATGACACCATGAAATCAAAAAAGAGGAACTAAAATACTTGATTTATATCTTGTATCTCTTTTATTATTTAAAGATATTTTAAATTCATATATCAACAATTAAATATTTCTTAAATCATACTCCCTCCGTCCCAAAATTATAGTCCATCTTTCCTTTTTGGTTTGTCCCGTATTTCTAAAAATAAATAACAATTTTACCAAAATACTCCCTCATTATTACTTAACCAACTGAACATTTAATAGAACATTAAATGCAAAGTAATGATAAAACTGTCATTTTATTAAATAAAGTTAGTTGTAATTAATGTCTTTCTTAATATGTATGTCTTTTGTCAAACGTTTTGTTTATAGACAAAGTGATAGGAAAATGGATTAAGATGTTAAAAGTTAAAACGCACTAAAACATTAAAAATAAAAAAATCAAGGTTGAAGTGTGTGAAGACAAAATACAAGATTTTGGCGTGAGAAGATTGTTGTCAGTGAATGTACCAAATCCCCAGTTCAATCTGTACGTAAACCCCACAACATTTATTTTATTTATTTTCTTGGTTCTGTTTTTCATACGTTCTCATTTGTTTATGTTCGGTTAAATAGATAAAAACAAAATACTTTTAATTAAGTTTTATTCTAAAATCTATCTTTAATAGTTGTGTTATATTTAATTTTGAAAAAAAAATATTTTTGAAAATAAATTGTAATTGATATATATATATATATATATATATATATATATATATATATATATATATATAATATATATATATATATATATATATATATCTATCATGACGACATATACAATGATATATATAGTGTCTCAAACTTGCCCCATGTTGGTTCGGCCCTAAACATAACACATATACAATGATATATATATATATGTGTGTGTGTGTGTTTAGGGCCGAATCAACATGGGGGCAAGTTTGAGACAGTTTCATTTGCCGTCATGGTTTAGGGCCCAAAAATTAATTATGTTTGGTACGGCTTAGGTTATTTTGTTTAAACTAATTATTGTGTTATTGTATTATTAAATGTGGGCCAATCAAATATTTAATTTTTAAAGGAAAATGATTATCATTAATTTGATATCCAATAAATGAAAAAGGCTTCACATTTAAAGATAACGGATCAGGAAGGGTATATGTGTACATTTGTCATCTCCATTAAAATAGGAAACTGGCTCTATTTCATAACTTCCCGCATAATCCCTACAACTTCGCATCAATCCAGATTTCACTACCCTCTGTATCGGAACACTAAATCAATGTATATTTTCTATAATCAACCAAAAATAGCGGTAGATTCTGTTGTTTTTTATTATAAAGTGATCTATTCTTGAAGATTGTTCAAAGAAATTGCATTGTGATCGTTCGAAGAAAAAGAAATTGCAGTACAATGAGGAATACAAGGACGACTTCTTTCAAATCGAAATTTAAGAACACACAAGAAACGGTTTTGAATCTAGATGAAGACGATGATGATTTCGTTGCTCCGCCTATAGGTAATTTTTTTTTAGTTTTTTTTAAGGTAATCGTTTGAATATACAACATTCTTTTGGAATGTTTGAACAATGAAGTAGATGCATGTGATTGTTTAGTTCGTTTAAGTAAAATAGAACAAAATTCTGTAAAAGGGGAGTTTTTTTTATTAGGGTTTTCTGAAATTGGGGATTTACAAACTAATTAAAAAAATTTATTTTACAGATATGGTAGTGTTTTTTTTTTCAAGAACAGGGTTTGTGATGGTGTATTTTGTTGTGTCTTGTAAAAGCCAAAAACGATGTTGTTTCTGTCCATTTTTTTCTTTGCAATATGTTGTCGTTTTTGTGATATAAGTATGTCATGAGGATCTTCTGTAAGAATTGAAAGTTTGTTTGTGGATTTTATGTGAAATGCATTCTTCCAGAATACGAAATATGTAAAATGACTCAATGTACTTGTTGTTGTGGTAATTTAGGGTGTGAAGGTTTTGTTTGTTATTGAATTTTTTTTTAGTATTTTGAGATATGTTTTTAAAAACATGCATAAATCTTTCAAGGTCTTTATGTTATGATAGAATTTTGTAAGATATTGTTGTATTGTTTTATTTTATTTGTTTTTTTTGAAATATGAAATATTTTTATTTTGTAGTTTTAATCCTATTATTTTGATGGTTTACTTTATTTCTATGTACTGTGTGTATGCAATTCTAACAGAATCAGTGTAATTAAATGTGTTAAATTCGTAAAGAATATGGAACATGAGAAGGGGATGTAGTGGTTAAATAAATCTAATTCTCATAGAATCAGTGTAAAGTAATGTTCCTATGGGGATTACTATTAAGTATTTGTATATGTGTTTGTTTCTCTGTGTTTGTTACTGTGATTTTTGATGCTTTAGTTTTTTGTAGTAAATCTTTGGCTTTAATTCTAATAGAGACATTATACGTATGTGTGTTGCATTCTTACAGAATGAAAACATAAAAAGGTATTGATAGTGGTTATAAATATTGAAGTATCGGTGGTTACTTTGAAAAGCATTAAAATTCTAATAGAATCATTGTAAGGGAATGTGTTTACATGCTTAAAGAATTGTAACAGAATAAGTGTATATAGGGGTCATATAGATTGGATTGTGACTGGTTAATCTGGAGATTGCTATTAAGTATCTGTATATGTTTTTATTACTGTGATGTTTGCTGATTTAATTTATTTGTATTTACTATTTGGCTTTAATTCTGATAGAAACAGTTTTTGGATTTGTGTCGCATTCTTACAGAAGGAAAACATAAAAAATATTTATAGTTTTTATAGGTAATGAAGTATAGCTGGTTACTTTGAAAACTATTATTGATCGACTTTAATCATTCATTTCATTAGTTGTTGCAGAAGCTGATCCAGTCCCAATTAATGTTGATACTACAAGCCAAACAAATGTGAGAAGGACCTACCGTACCAGATCAACACCCGTGAAAGAGAATATCAATACTCAACCTACAGGTAGATTTAATTTTTTTGGTTGATGAAGAAAAATAACAAAAATTTTAGAACATGTTGATAGCCAATATGTATTTTTTGTTAATTAATGAAGTATAAGGTGTCGGAAGTGAACCAAATGATATGAATATTGTTGGATCAAGCAAAACAAAGAAACAGAGGAAAACAACTTCAAGATCAGAACATGGAAAGAACAATGTAGATTCTGGGAAATCAGGTTAGATCATAAGTGCTTGTAATTAATGAATTTTACTATATGAGTATGAGATGGCTAATATAGAGTTTATTATTCTATTCAAGCTGTATTAGACGATTAGTAATTATGTTTGTGCGATTCAACAGATGTTAACAAAGATAAAGAAGACACAATACCAATTGACATCACAAGTGTAGGAAGGCTGAAAAGGAAAGGTTCTGCTAGAAATACACCTGTTAAGGATAATAAGAAATCGTCGGAGGCAAGTGGTGAAAGGAAAAAACCAAGAGGTTTAAATGAGTTATTTATGGAGAGTATGAGTGGGGCAAAGAAAGACAATGAAAAGGCAAAAATTGGTGTGGATATGGAAGATAAGGAAAATGTTGTAAAAAGAAAAAAGGTAGTGCATGATGCACATTCAAAGAAATCTCCAAAGAGAAAGAAAGGAAAAGTAGAACATGAAAATGATAAAATCAAAACAATGGAGGGGAAGGTCAGATGACTAAGCAAGGACCATCCAGAAGGTTATAGAAGACTTGCCACTAGAATGACTCCTGGAAGGATTAGTTCAGCTGTGAAAGTAATGTCACCCGCACAGAAAAATGGGATTGTGTCAATGGGATTTGGTTCACTTCTTCATATTGACATAGACACTACTCCGGGTTTACTTAACTACTATATGTTATATCATTATGATCCAGATAGTAGCCGTCTAGTTCTGGAGAATATGGTCATAACAATTACGAAAGACACAGTGCATGACATATTGGGTTTACCAAATGTGGGGGAAAACTTTCTGAGCATGAGTAGTTGTGATAAAGATAATGAAGTTCTGCAAGAATGGAAAAGTCAATATGATAAAAAAAAGGGTTTAATGGTGAAGAATACCTGAAAAGGACCAAAAACACAAAGCAAGACAGTCTTATGTTTAGGCTGAATTTCTTGACCCTTTTCATTAACACATTTGTTGAATCAACTTTGAGTGGTACCAATAAAATAAATGTTGTGAATAAGTTGGTCGTGGTAAAAGGCTTCTCTAAAATTGATTGGTGCAAGTATATTCTAG